GTCTATGGGTTAAACCATGTTGTGAAAGCTTGAGAAATATACCTTGCCAAGTGGAATAAGCAACACTCATCAACATTTCATCGCCATGCTTTACAGAATGCAACTTCTTGAGTGATGCTGCACGAAAGCACGAGAAAGTTTAAAATCAGAAACAGCGTTCGACTGGGTGATGCTGTATGACTGAGATTATTCGTAGCAGCCGTAGAAGAGGTTTCCAAGACGTCCTTTGAAAATAGCAGAAGTTGAACATAAATGAAAAATATGTAAGCCTGTGACATGCGCATGATCTTCTCGTCCTCTCGCGGTCACCAGAAAAACTCTAAAGAAATATTGAAGAGTTGAGCGACGCCAAAATCAGAGTTGAACTGAAAATGAATCTGAAGAAGATTCGGATTATCTTAACAGATACGCCACCCACCACCTGTTGAAATCAATGTTCTGCCTGGGACAGCTCATCTCTGCAACGGAGAACTGATTATGCAAAATTAGCAAATGATTAGAAATGGCTTTTGGAAGGTTAGCACTTTTGGAAGATTGATTTTGGAAGATGTTCCTATTCGAGAGATCCTTCTTGTGCTTCAAACGAAAAGTTCAGTGTATGCTTCCTGTGCTAAGCTATGAATGCGTAACATGGGTCCTAATCTCGAAAACCATGCATGACCTTCAGACGATGCAACGCTGCATGGGAAAATTTATGATATGAATAACAAGGAAAGAGACAGGAAAACCAGTTAATGGAAAACAGCCCAAACAACGGTTGATGATGTCACTGTCCAAGTGAAGAGATTAAAGTTGCAATATGCTGGGCACGTTGCACAAAGAGTCGATTATCCCCTGACAAAAGGGATATTTGATCGGCTTTCAGGCAAAAGTCAACGGCTCTTAGAAAGGCCTATAGACGGATGGATGGCAAGATTAATCAAAGGAGTTCGTTGCATCAAGGTGGACAAAATGGCAGAAAGAAGTCTGCAGTTAATTCTTGGAGAGGCCTTTGTCCAGTAGTGGATCGACAAAGGCTAATAATGAGTAGGAGTATGAGCGTGCTTGCAGTAAATCTGATCCATCAACCACAGTATCCCACTCCAGTATGATACTGCTGGTGTCATTCCCTCTTTAAACAGACGGCGTCATATGTGCATTTTTTGGCCATATGCAACTGATCTGAATTTTCCTTATCTAAATCATCGAAGTTACGAAAGCCCTTATTTACTTAATTTCACGACATAATCAGTCAAACACTGCTTTACAAAATCGTCCATCTCGACGTAAAACGATAATTCGTGGATGAGAGGTCACAGGAACAGCATGAAGCATTATCATGTACTTCTTCAAGACGATTATCGTAAATCCTTCCTACCAGATTTGTAGTTAAAGTTTCCTACCTCAAGAGAGTGCTACCTTAAACGTATAAGGATCTCTGTCAACCCCAATTATTCTAGTCTCATCAACGAGCCAATTCATGATTCGTGACAGGCGTTGATGACTTTCATTGCAGTTCAGCCCAGCAGAGAGCTACGTCCTTCGCTTGATGTTCGAACTCCATCCTTGTTACTTGTAACTCTCATGTAACTCCTCCCATGAGAGTTACACCGAGGATGACCAATTTTAAACAACAAACTGATAAAAAACTGAAAAACATTCGCAATGCTACCAGTTCTTGAAAAATTTGAACAAACAGCATAGGGACTGATCGCTACGACTGAATGCTTTGATGCCTTCAGTGTTTAATTAGCAGTTGTGTGCGATTCCTTTTCCAGTTCTGATGCATGCATGCGTTTTTTGGTGTTGGTTGACGAAACTGGTTCAGTCAACGCCTTTTCTGGGAGGCATTGGCAAAGATCCATGATTCATAAACTTCAGTACACCAACCAAATGATGGTCGAGTTCTGCATACTGAGCACGTCGCTAACTGGCAGTGGAGACTGTGTTGATGACACCATGCCTCTTCTGACTTCTGAAAGGCAAACAAATATTTGTTGACAGCAACTGGAGGAAACGGATCAGGACCTCATCGGATTAGAAATCAACAGTGTTCGAAATTTACCTTCAGCATTA